TTTTACTTGTGTACTCCTCTAGGCCTAATTAAACTGTCTACTTTTTTTTTTTTTTTTATTCCAACTTTAAAAGGTAGCATGCCGAAAAGGGTTAAACTTTAATTACTCATCAAAATATCTCTATCACGCACGTCTCCTGACAACATTTCGTCTACACAGAGTAATTTTTTTATCTGAACTCCTCTGAGTTACTAGCCATTCATGGAAGTCAAAGCACTTTACGTGATTCGTATGCAGTATCGGTCCCATAACAATAACAGACTTTAATCGGTCCCATAACAAATTTCCTGAGTTTTCCATTAGTTGTGAAACATAATGCATATACACATGTTTAATCATCCATTTACATAAAAGAAAAAAATCGATTTCTTCATACATAGAGCAAGAAATAACATATTGTTACGTGCGTACCAGTTCGTAATGCACTGAATGCACACAGAACCGATGAAAGCCTGATGAAATTACCTTCGATTTCTCAAAACTGCTGCAAAGAATACACAGTCACAGTTAAATAGAAGCAGATACAGTGACAGGGATCGGACCAAAATATCGAAAAATGATCGCCTAGCCTGGCGAGTTTTTACAGTCTCTTGTTAAATTTGGCGATAAAAACCGACAAAATCCCAGCCGTCCGACTGGGGTTAATATATTAAATCTACCTACACCTGCAACCCTATTTTTTCGACGATGCTTTCGCATTCTGAGGGCTTTAGTATTATATTCTTCAAGAGATACAATAATTTAGATATAATTTCACAAAAATATACATGTATCCAAAATTCGTAGCAATATATTGCAGATATTTTGATTTATAATAAAGCGTGCATTTTTAAGAAATGAAAGAGGGAAAAAAAAAACATTTTATCAATTTAAAAATAACACAAAAGTTTGGTAATTATATTTGTATAAGTAATATAAAATTATTATGTAAATAATTAGTGTAAAATAATAATATTTCATGTATAGTACTAAAATAACTTAAAATTATTATACAATACACGGACAAAGCTTAATAATATAAATATTAACGGATTTCCGATAATTACAGTATTACAAAAGCAATTAAATATTTATTCAGAAAATAGCTTAACTGCATTGGAACATATAATCTGATGTTTTACCCAAAATTTAAAGCTTTAGTAAATATGCCAAGCGCTCGAGCTAGCCAGCCCTCTTCCAGAAGCTAAAAAGCCACTAACAAGAGGAAATTGTAAATAAAATAAAATACAAACAGATGATGAATCAAGATTTTCTTATTTGTTAGACTTTTCAGAACATAAGAATTAAAAATCGAACAAATAATCAAATCGTAAAAACAATTGTATTCGCTTAAGTATCGAAACCTCAATCGATTTCGAGGGCACTACCTTCCCCCTCATCAGGAAAGAAATCTTAGAAAGAAGAAATAAGGGGAAGGAGTCTCGAAACACGTGGTCCTTATCAGCACTGCACGCGGTAACAGGATTTTTCGAGTTACAATGGCGCCTACTTTTACTGAGCCAGGCTATCTGATCAAACATTAACACAAAGGACAGCAATAGCGCGTTCAAATAGGGAGCGAGGGCAACTCTCATCTCAAATCTAACTTCGAATAATGAAGCTTACAATTATATCAGGGTAAAAGAATATTCTGTCATTTATAAAGGTATCCATCGCAAATTATGATTCGAAATAAATGTCGCATTACAAATAAAGTTTATTAAAGTTTATTAAAATAATAACACTATAAGTTATTTCTCTCTCCTTCCCAGCCTTCCTTCGTAGTGTAAGTGGTTGCCCGCGGGCGAGTATTCCAGAGATCCGTGGTTCGATTCCCGGCGAAGGCGTTTCCTCATTTTTTATCTTGCCTGCTTCCAAAAAAATACCTAATGTCTCTACAGTAGCGCCCGAACTAAAAGGGTAGTGGATTGTGATTTCTTCCCACCCAGGATTTGGCGATTGGTTTCCCTAAAATCCCCAGTCGCCCTCTAAAAGACTGAGTATATAAGGTACTTCTCCAGCCTTCTTAGCGTGCCTTCGTGGTGTAGTGGCTCTACACGCTGGTTCCAGAGGTCTGTGGTTCGAGTCCCGACGAAGGCGTTTGTTAATTTTTCAGCTCTTCGTCTTCCAAAAACACCGAATGTCTCTGCAGTGGCACTCGAACTAAAAGGGTGATGGATGATGATTCTCCTCACCCGGGATTTGACGACTGGGTACCTTAAAAACCAAAAAAATACCTAATGTGTCTACAACACAAAATCCACACAATTTGAGGCGTACTTCATTTTGTGCGCAAAAGCTGTTTCCGTAGCCACCATTGCTTTTCGCACATATGATTTCTATACGCAGTCTCATTGGCTGTCGTCAACTAAGTCTCGGGCAACATTGGATCCTTATGGTCAATGAACACAACTTCTGATGCAAGCATTGCAGGCATGTATCTGATGCGCTGGCGATACATTTCCTTGTGTAGACGCATTTGGAATGCGAGGGACATACACCTGCTTAACTTTTAGACGCCAGGTGTCCCCGTCCTCCGTCACCTGTCACTTGTGTACTTGCCTTGATGCAGGCGCCACATACATTGAGAAATATTTGCTCGGAGATACGCCTTCTCGTAGAGAAAGGGCTTAATACACCAAATAAAAAACATTTTTTTCGTTACAACAAAGCTGGAAATGTTCACGGAAATTATTAATTAAATATATTAAAAAATATACGTAAAATTAAAAGAAAATGCAATTCTGGGTTTGGCATCCATGTTTTAGAAAACTCTATCCATTTTTAGGATAAGAGACATAGTTCTCTCTTTATCAGGAGCAAAAAAAAAATCCTGTGTAAGGCTTGCCAATATTCGGTTACCTTTTCATTTAGCGCATTTCTCTTTCGTGTAAATTAAATATACACTCTTAGACAATAAAAAAAGATGCACCACGACGCACCGAGAAGATATAAAGCAAATTGGACACAAATTGATATGCATACAGGTTTCGACGGAAAATGCAAAATTTTACATTTTGGCTGCCAATAAACGAACGGTTGTCACTCCAGCGCATCTGATCTGCGCAACTGCCAGGATATTTAAGAGGAGAAATTACGATTCCAGATCATAACTTCTTCACGAATTTCATTCCGTGTACTCTGGTAGACAGTAGCTATGCCTCGCATACAGGTGCGCGAACAGTAAGCGCAGATGTCTGAATTTGAGAGAGGTCATGCAGTTGGGCTCAAAGAAGCCGGTTGGTCTTATCGGCAAATAACTAGACATTTGAGCAACAGCGATGCCACCATTAGACGATGTTGGCAGGAATGGGTGAACCATGGCCGCACACAGCGTCAAGAAGGAAGCGGTAAGCTTAGAGAAACGACAGAACGTGAAGACCGAGCAATCGTCAGAGCGGCACTCACAGCCCCAGATGCATCATTATCATCGATTGTACGTGCAACTAGTGCTTCAGTGACCGCAAGGACCATTCATAGACGGCTCACAGAAAGGGGGCTGCGGTCACTTCACCCCTTGCGCCGACTACCATTGATCTCTGTGCAACGTCAAGCCCGTTTGCAGTGGTGTCGGACTATTCACATGGATGGTCACTGACTGGAGTAGAATAGTCTTCAGTATGGAGTCCCGCTTTGAACTGAATTCCGATGACCAGCGAAGGCGAGTCTGGAGACGCCCCGGACAGCGGAGTGTTACCAACCTGACTGTCTTCCGACAGACAGGCCCACAACCAGGAGTGATGGTCTAGGGTGCCATTTTATTTTATAGTAGGACCTCTTTGGTTGTCATTCGTCGCAACCTTACAGCACAGCGGTACGTCGACGAAGTTTTAAGGCCCGTTGTGTTGCCCTTCATGTCACGTTACCCTGGGCTTACATTACAGCTAGATAATGCCCGTCCCCACGCTGCACATGGTTTTAGTGCTTGCCGAACATTACCTTGGCCAGCAAGGTCGCCCGATATCTCTCTTAATGAGCACGTTTGGAGCATTATGGGCAAGGCCCTCCAACCAGCTCGGGATGCTGACTATCTAACGTGCCAGTTGGACAAAGTTTGGCACGATATCCCTCAGAAGGACAACCGCAATTTCTATCAATCAATGCCAAGTCGAATAACTGCTTACGTAAGGGCCAGATGTGGACAAACGCGTTACTGACTTTTTCACTTTGTGAAGCTCTGTCACTTCAACAAACCATCCAGTTTTTCTCTAACTGTAATTATTTGTTTTTCTGTACATGTACATCACTTCTACCAATTTTCGTCCCATTCGGATAACTCTTTCTTGGTGCGTCCCTTTTTTTTCCTGTCTAAGAGTGTATTTTAATTTACATCAGTTAAAAACATTATTCAAATTATAAATTGAAGATCTAAATTATTAAAATGTTCCTTTATTATTTTTAAATAATTTAATTTCTTAAGAAGTTACAGATTAACTAAATTTGAAAGAGAAGGTAAAGGTCTTATTATTTGTTGATGTTCTGAGAGTCGACTATGCGCGTGGCCCTTTCGAAGATAATTTATGTATCTTGTTATTTATATATGCTTAATTCCAAGTTAATGGCCGCATTAGCGCTATAGTTTCATTTGGACTTCCCTGATTCTTACGAAATATTTCTATGTAGCAAGCTTGAGTATTTTAACTATAGAACCATCTTCCTCAGCAGCCTAAGCGCAAATGGTATGACGTATGACGCACCTTCTTTTTTTCTTTTTTCTTACTCTGTTTTTGTTATGAGACAGAGCCATGGGGGGGGGAGGAAACCGTTCCATGTCGAGCATCACCTCTAATCTTTCGATCAAAAACTCCATCCCTTGCACATTACGTAAAACTGTAACTTCTGTTTGAAAACGCTTTGATAAAGTGACTGTTAGCGAAACTGCGATCTGCTATAAATGTTATTTTTGCTTATACTTACTTTTACGTCGGAGTTTTTAATTTGTTTGCTGTTAATATTGCATAAAGTTAATTTCTTCGTAATACTTGTAATTTTCTGTTTGCGTCACCTGATTCTGATTAATATTGTCATTCTTTTTTCCTTTCACAGTGCCACCCAAAAAGCCTGTGATCATGGATCAAAACGGCGAACTCTTCCACAGTCTCATCGGGCCCTACAACGAAGGGGACAGATTGTTCCTCGTCTGCGAAACGGAAGGGGGTAAGCAAGACACGTAGACTTCATTCTTCTTTTTCGTATTTATTTTTTTTAAATTTATTTCTGTTGATACTTTCTAAATATTTGTTATCATCTCTTTAAATAACCAAATACGCGGAAGAGGAAAACTTGCACCCCTTACTTCAGCGTGAGGCGGAAAGAGTTTGCAATCTGAAATCATCAGGTTTAAGTCGTAATATTTTGACTTTCTATCAAGTTTCATTTTGAATGCGTCACAATCGTTTGCTGCCAGCTGACACGTAGCGGCCTATTTCTCTCTATTATCCATTGCTTATGGAAAATATGAATGAGTGCACATTGCGCCTATAATGATGTGTGAATCAGAATATGCTTCTAGAGAATTGCTTTGTCCAGAAATAAGAAAATAAAATTAAAATAAATTTAAATATTTAAATTCCCTGTATATTCGTATATATATATATATATATATATACAGGGTTCCCGTAAATGTTGCAACAAACTTCCGGCGGGGGTAGAGCAAATCATAAGGATAAAGAATTCCATAGGAGTCCTGCTCAAAAACGTCATTGTACGCCGCCAGAGGGTGTTGTGCAGGAGGGTGGTAGAGGAAAGTGAGGATTGCTTCGTTCGAGCGGTAGGCACCATACGAACGGAGAGCTTGTAAACATATAGTTCCAACATGATTGGGGGCTCCAGCTGGTTTTGGACTGGATGTTCGTAGCCATTTAAACAGATCATTCCGGCATTGAAAGATTGGGCGTGGTGGACCGGTTCCCTAGCCCCCGCGCTTACCGGATTTATCCAGCCTTGATTTCATTTTGTGGGAAGCCATCAAAAGTGTCGTGTATCACGATCCTGTTGTGTTTGAAATGGATCTCGTGGCAAGACTCACCTGCGCAGCTGCTACAATCAAAGAAATTCCAAGTGTGTTTGAACTGGCCCGGCAATAAATAATGCGTCAGGCATGTTTGGCGTCTGATGGTGCAAACCTACAGCATCTGTTGTAACCTTCAAGCTTGTACACCATTTGTATTCATGTCGAATAAATGATTCAGCATAATTACTCTCTTATTTTCTTTTCTCATCTTCTACCTCTGCTACCACTTACCCCTGACATTTCCAAGCATGGGTTCCTATTCTTTCCTTAATACTTACGTTATGCCCTACCGCCCCTAGAAGTTTGTCGCAAGTTACGGGACACCCTGTGTATAGAGACATAAAGAGAGAAATTTAGAACTAATTTTTACTAGGCATGTTTACACTTTGTTTTATAATTACGTATATATATATATAATTAAAGAAAGGAGAACAAACCTAAAAAAGACCTTTGTGGTCAAGAATTTTGCGCATTGAGCTGCAAAAATTAGAAAACAAGGTAAAAAGGAAATTCTTAATGCTTCAGCTTAAAAGTGGCTGTGATACTATGGCTCCGGTGAAAAAATTTTTAACATAAGTAAAATAAAGTGCAATGAAAAGTGTAAATACAAAATAAACGAAATTGTCACTAGAATACTTACAAATCAAAAACGCATTTAAAACTCAAATCTAATTGGAAGTAATATGTTGAATCAAGTTAAGACAAGCTTTAAACATTTGAATAAAAATGCAATTGTGATATAAGACATAAGCAAAAATACAAAAAAGAAACAAAAAAGCGGTAAATGGTAAATTAGCCCAATTCGAATCTCATTACTGACTCTTCAGGGAAAATACATAATGATTTTCGAATCCAGCTAATTCCATATCGCGTTTCGTCAAAACAGACAATTGAAACTGTACACGAAACTTTTCGAATATTAACTGAAACATATTTTCTCCTTTAAGAAAGTTAGTAGAATTTTAGTTGAATGAAGTAACTTAAATGCTTCTAATTTACTTCATTCAACTTAAATACTATTAACTTTCTCAAAGGAGATAATATACTCAATAATCCGTTAGTAAATAAATTATTACTTTGCAGCTTTTGCACAAGTATTAGGCTATTTATTACGTAATTCAATCTTTGATATGGAATCTCATTAATTGGATTAACACTCGACTTACAAGTTTGGCTTTAACTCAAATTGCCAGTTTAGCATCATACTTGAGTAAAAGACGAAACACCTTCGCATTTATTAATTATTGTTAATTGAACGGGGGCTGGTTTGTCCCCTTGAAAAGTCTTCCGGTCAATGACGATAATTACGTACCTTATTAATTTTCATTTTAAAAGTTACCATTTCTACTTTTCATGATTTAAGTTCAGGTTCCTTTAAAAATATCATTTACGGTATTAAATTTCATACTTCTGGATTACTTCATTCAGATACATTCTACTAACTTTATATTAGGAGATAATATAATCAATATTACTTTAGTAAATAAATTATTATTATCTTAATTTGCAGCTATTGAGCAAGTATTAGGAAATTTATTTCGATTTCAATGAATTTTAATTAATTAATTCAATTATATATATATGTGTGTGTGTGTATATTGTTTTCTACTGGTTCGTGGATTTGGAGTAATTCACGGTAACACTTAATAAAGAATCAACACACAATTTTATTGCACGGGACAGTTCCAAAGACATATTTACAGTCGTCGAAAAACTACGATGAATAGCAATCGCAACACATCCTTCAGGCCATAATGGTGAAGAGAGCTTCACGGCAAAGCACTAAAATACAGCTCCCGACTTGGTCAATCGCTCTCAAGCTAACCTCTGAACTCCACTACTCTACTACTGAGCTCAACATACTCCGCGTACAGGCGTTTGTCTTTATATATATATATATATTATCTTACATATATATACAAGATAAAAAAATATATAAATCAAAATTCTAATTTAAACTAACGGGTAAAACATTGCTATGATAATTGGAAATCAAAATTTTTCTTCTTCCCGTGCTTCCATATTGCATAACTATGCACTTTAGCTTCGCTCTCTGCTTTGCTAGTATGTAATTTCGCTGGCCTGCATAGAAAGCAATATCAAAATTGTACATTTTCTTGAACAGGCACGACTAAAGTGCCAAGTGATTGCGGCTACAAACGTCAACTGGAAAATAAAAATGGAGTTAAAACTGTTTCGACAGCTATTTTTTTTATATATATATATTACGAAGTCAACACATTAGCACACTACGCAGTCTTCAATATAGATCTACTTACGCATCAACAGTGTCTCGGCTTTTCCTTTCCCTTTCCTCGCGCTTTTATATATATATATATATGGTGTGTGTGTGTGTGTGGTGTGTAAGATACAACAAATTATGATAGCTGTTTAAAAAAATAACTGGTGACCTCAAAATTAACATTCTAAATTTGGGGATGTCCCTTGGGCTCATCTTTTCTCACAGGTTCCAGATTTTTCTATCTTACTTAACGTTTTAATGCAGATACCTCTTGTCGAATCAAATTAATTGTAAACCAAAAGTCACTATATTTTCCCACCTATGCGGTGCCCAAAGGTTGTTCGTTAAGGTTTTTTATTTTTATTTATATATTTATTTTTTTTTTTTAATACGATACATACTGTTCTGTCACTCACTCGTGCTAACCCATATTTTTTTTTTTTTTTTTTTTTTTTTTTTTTTTATTTTAGATAAGTACCATTTTCTTCGAACTTACGCCATATGCAGTTCAACAGCAAAATGACAAAAATTTTAAAAGCAGCATGTGTTTAGAATTCCCTGTGAAATGTTAAGTGTTGGCGTACATTTTTGTATTTTTTCAGCGTTTTCTCTGCTCATCGTATCAATATTCAGTTTTCTTACAAGAGAGCTTGCAAAACATTCTTTCTATTATTATTAAGGTACTACGTGTTAATTTGATTAATTAATTATGATAAGTTAATTAATCAAAATAACACTTACGCCACCCAAAATTCAATTCAAAATGATAAAATAGGCAAAAATTTCAAAACAGCATATATTAAGAAATTCCGCCAGGCATTGGAGATAAAAAACTTTTATTCCATACACTACAGTATTGCTACTACTTTCTTTCTAATCATCAAGTTAGTTAATCAAAAATTAATTAAAGTTTTACAAAATATGAAATATAATATTCAAAATTGAAAGGCTTCCAGGTGTTCCGGTGGAGGAATACGTTAATCAAAATTTGATGGCACCGTTGTTTTTTCACAATTGTACCTTTGTTTTTTCACAGTGCGAGAAATACACATAGCTTAATGCAGATTCTTCACTATTTAATTTCTTTCAAAATAATACAGGGCGATAACATTTCAGGCCAACGATTTGAAAAGTTTGTAGAGACATTAGGTATTTTTGGAAGTAGGCAAGATGAAAAATTAGCAACGCCTTCGCCGAGAATCGAACCTCTCAAATACGCGCTGAGTGTGCTGACCATTACACCACGAAGGCTCGCCAAGAAGGTGGGAGGAATACCTTATAAGTTATACTCCATTTATAGAGGACTAAGCAAAATCCGGTTTCGACACTATTGGCTCATTCGGGCTAAGTTCCTTTTGGGCTAATAATTCAAGATTTTTCTTTGTATTTTTTTGCGACCCTCTCACGCATGAGTCATGCATCAAATATTTGATGCAAATTTAATGGCAACAGTTTCTGTTTTGCTATGAGACGAAAATCCCTATAGTGAAAGCAATAATAACTGATTTCAGGTTTTAAGGAAACTTTGCAGTGATAAGGACGAAGCATGCCGTTGCCAGATACTGGCAAATAAGCAAGCATTGAAACTTCTGTTATTAATTATGAGTATTAAACTGTCTAATCCAATGTAATTAACCTTTGTGAAATAAGAAAGAACCTGTAGAATGGCACATCTATTTGTTGAACTTTCTTTCAATAACTCTTCAGACAATGCAATTGCTCTCTTCAAATTTCGTAATCTTCAAGACTTTGTCATAATTCTAATTATACTGAAATCATTCCAATTCTCGTTTCGAAATTCGACAGGCGGTTAACTCCATAAGCCTCCCTCTAATCCCGCTTCATTTGAGGAAGAAATTATCCAAACTGGGAGATGATAATTCTGAGGAAGTGGAGATAAGTTGGGAAAAATTTTTAATTTGTGCTTGTTGCAGCTTTAAATTCCATTCGAATGCTGTATTAAAGCCGAATAATATTTTATAATATATAAAAGCGACAACAACTGTTTTGCTTCTAAGAACTTAAAATCTTTGTTATAGTTTTCAAATCATATATTTAATTGCTATAATTTAAAATAAATTTCACTTATAGCACGGCCAACTGATATTTTCTGTGAGCGTGTTTGGCTATATTGTAATCAATAAGTTACATATCTGACGTTATACATTACGAAGAATTTCTTTTTCCTTATTTCTTTCAATTTCGGGCGGTCGTAGTTAATACCGTCGCTGCCTGTAGGCATGATGTATACATGATGTTACTGTATTCACCTAGGTAATAAAATTGGATTTTTATTTTGAATGCATATGGAATTTAAATAAGGCTTTATAGAACAATTTAAAGCCCATTTAATTTTTAGTAGAATCATTATTTATGTAATATTTATCTTATTTCTTTATCATTTTTATTTTATACTAATAATGATATGTGTCGTTTTTATTGCCACCCAACTGGGACAGTGGTTAGCGAAGCTGACTGCCGTACTGAAGGGCCCAGTTGCATATAAGCATTCTGTACCGCGCATAGGGAAATTCGTACTTGTGATTGGACACACTTTCCGATGACATCATTTTCTCTTGGCGTAATGACGTTTAAGCGGGATTCATACGGTTTTGTTTTTGTTGAATAGCACGCATAAGTTAAACGGAAGTCTTTAAATTATCTTTGAAACGAAAATATTTAACAGTAGCGTTCTGCAGATGGCTTCCTGTTTCATTAAATAATAAAATTATAAAATAATTCAAAGACGCTGTTAATATCAGAAGCAAATCTTAAACGTTTAGATTATATAAATAGCTGAGTTCATGAATTTAGTGCAAAAACCAGAGCACTACGATCTCGGTCCAGTTATAAAGGCATTGTGTGTCATTAAGTATATTGTCATTATTGCAGTTTTGTTGCATTCTGTTCTTTTCACATTGGAGAAAATATTTCCTCTGCAAATGTTACATTATTTCCATGTTAACGTCCATGTCATTTCTAACATTTTGTTGCCTTAGATGAAAGAAAAAAGCGCATATAATATTGTAGCTGAATTTGATGTATGTGTATAAGAAAAGAAACTTATTGTATTCATCTCTAATCTTATTGTATTCATCATTGTACATGTTTATATGTCAATTATCTTGACTTCGATGAATTTTTACTCAAATATTTTTAATTTAAAGACTAAAACTTAAGGACTTTTTTTTTTTTTTTTTTTTTTTAATTCAAGACCTACTTATATTCTCAAAGACTGTTTACCTTTTACTTATCTCTACAGTTACAGACTACTCATTTATTTCTAGACTCTCTTAAAATGTATAATGACATTTTATATTATAAAATTTGGTTATTCTTCAAAATTAATATATAAAAATCAGTAAACATAAATTTTGAACTTAAGTAACAATTCTCTAAATATTTATGTTATGAGCTTTATTGTAAACGTTGCCATCTATGTAAACACCACAAGACCTGTATAATATGTCTCTGTATATCATATGTATATTTGCACAACCATTGTAACTGTAAAATTTTATTTCAAATAAATACCGCTGATAGCGGATGGTAGATAATTTCCATTTATACAGCTCAAAAGCTGAAAGTCGTAATGATGGTGCAGTTGCTCTGTTGATGATCTCCTGTCTCCTGTCAACCCTTAGGTTAGCCTTTATCGGTAGTCACCGAAAGTCAGCACGGAGTACGATGCTGACGTTTAGTTTAATACTTTTTGTGAATAATTATAATAATAATGTATATATTTTTAATATATTTAATTTATGATATGTCCACATGATACATTTTTTTGAAGAAACTCAGCATTATTTTAAGATTAAAAAATGCTTAATATCATACATTGGAAAACGGTACGGTGTCGTTTGTTTAATTTATTTTATGCAGACGCATAAGATTTTAGTGGAAAGATTTATAACTCATATTCTGTTTCAGGTAAGCCGACTCCTTCCCTGACGTGGTGGCGTGAGAGCGTTTTGTTGGACGACAGCTACGAAGTCAGCAGCGAAGGTGTGGTTCGGAACGAAATCGAGATCACATCCCTCCAGAGGCATGATCTGATGGCCGTTTTCACTTGCCAAGCGTCCAACAACAACCTCACGGTGCCCGTCTCCAAGTACGTCACTGTGGACATGAACTGTAAGTATCTTGAATCAATTTCACCTATCTTTCTAATAGTATTCCACAAAAAATTTTCCTTAAATATCCCAAATATCTCTTATATATTCGCGCTTTGGAATCTTTGCAGTGAGGACACGACGTTATGGAATTTGTGTGTTTTCATTTGTGCTTTGTATGACTCAAAATACATAACCGAGAAAAGTTACTACGAAAGCTGTCTTTTAAGTTGGCAGCTAGAATTTTAAGTCTTTAAAATAAGATATCGAATGAAACAGAGTAAACGCTATTATTTGTCATTCTGTGAACTGTCAGTTTCTATTATCCGATAGCCAATCAGACAATGCGACGAGTAGTAGCAATCCCCTAAAAAACCGTACAACTAGTATAATTGTACCGTAAGGTATAACATATAAACTCTATTGAAACGGCGAAGCTAAAATATTGTGTTGTTATGTTATTTTTTTTTTCTTCTTTATTGCGTTCGTTACGGGTTCGTGCGCATTTGGACTGAATAACGACGACACTTGATGAAGTATCGAAACACACTTTCTTTAGCCAATATTAATCAGGACAAAGTCACGTTTTGCAATCGTCGAAGATCTATTATACACTCACTGGAACCATCAGCGACACAGCCTTCAGGTTATCAGGCTATAACGGTGGAGACAGCTTCACTGCAAAGCACCAGAGTACAGCTCCCGACTCTGCTCGGTCGTTCTAGGAACTCCACGTACTCTCGAGACTCTCCACGCTACAACTCGCGATGCACTCGACGACACACAGAGCACAGCTCTCGACTCTTCGGTTCAATCGTTCCCGGAGCTCAAAACACTCTCTCGACGATGCACTAACCGCGATACACTAAGAGATTCTTTCGATGCACTCGATGACCTACTGCAGGGACTGACTAACTCGAGACATACTATCTCCCACTCCAGCAGGGTTTATATAGCTTTTGACTTGTATTCGAGAATATTCTAGGCTAAACCGGTAAGGATTCGTTCCAGAAGGCTCTCCATCCGTCCATGGCACATAGCCAATTTTGTCGCCAAACGGGCGATTTCTCAATAAATATGACAACGCTACCTTACCTTGCTATTTTATGGCAACCCTAAACTTGCTTTGCGGGGAAGCTATCTTGCAGCGGCTGGACATTTCATAACAGTATTAAAATTCTAATGTCAAATAAAGCTAAGTAGAAGTAAAATTATACTATAAAAAACTACCTTCCAAATTTCATAATACTGTGATCTCGAGGAAAGTGGGAAAGTCATCAGCCCCAAAGGGACCCTAGTCCAAATGGGCTATTAGTCTCGAAACGGGATTTTGCGTTGAAACACTTTTCAAATCACTTTTTAAGTCAGCGTATAACTTTTCAAATTGTTGCCACCAAATATCATCGCCCTGTATTAAAGAAATTAAGTAATGAAAAATATGCATCTTTCTCCCACTGTGAAATTACAATGGTACCCAGAGCCATCCAATTTTGTATAACGTAATTTTCTACCCGAAAATGTACAACTGGAAGCCCGGATTTTAAATTTCGAATTTATTTTATTATCTATTTCATATTTTGAAAAAACTTTAATGAATTTTTTTATTAACTAACTGAATGATTTTATAGCAAACAGTGGCAGCACAGTACGGGATAAAAATTTTTTTATCTCCAGCGCACGAGACTGTCTATCGAAAACTCTAAAGATATGTTCTTTTGGTACTTTTCCGTTTCACCGGCACAAATCTCGCCAAGCAGACTTTGTTGGCGACAACATACAGTATACACATAAAAATGTTAATTCTAAGAATTTTTTTTTTTTGAAGGCATAAACATTTTAATATGGTTTAAAATTTTTTAAAAAGCCAATAAATAAAGACAATAAATTTGTAAAAAGACATTAATTTAAGAATTTACTATGATTTCATGGTTCAAAATCCTGATTCGCCGGTTCGTATCACGTGACCCCAAGTAATCTCATCTCACGTAAACTACGCTACTAAAATCTAATTCGCTCAGTAATTATCTACATTAATTTCAAGTTAAATCTTAATTTGGAATACAAGTTTAAATGCAAGAATTATTTCAATTCGTACGAATAGCTTACTCAGAAATTATGTAAAACCGCAGTGCTTTACTTCGCTAGTGCATTCTCATTAGAATTGATGAATTTAACACTTGATTTCACCTTCGGATGAGCGGTTTAATTGCATTCTAATTGACTTAATTACCGTGAATTGTCTTAGGGGATAAAATTTAAATATCGTGTGAAAATTCTATATTATTGTATGCCAGTATTAAAAGAAACAATCTGATAAGAAATGGCTTCAACTTGTTTTGAAACTGAGGCGTAAAAGGTTACCAGCAAAGATATTCCGTCTGGCATCAGTTAAACCATTATTGGCGACTTTATCGTTTACGCCGGCAGAACGGAAAAGTACCGTTCTTTTTAAATATCTGATGATTTTGGTTTTGAATTGAATTTTATGTGTCGTAAATGCGAAAATTGTGGTATTTAATAAATAATGTTAATACATAAAACGTTAATAATAGAAAGACCAAAAAAAAAAAAAAATTTGCCTGCCATCTTACCAAGAAAACTGAACGATTTACGGGATTCAAGGATCCTAAAATTCCATTCCAGAATTAGTGAGTATACTACAGTGAAAGTCCTGACGATATTATAGAGGTCATTCATTGATTACTAACATGCGTGGCATTAAAACTTGCATGAAGGAAGGAAAGACCAGGCAGCTTAGAACAGTTTCAAGAGAATAGGGGAGGATTGGATGAGACTGGTTGTGGAAGAAAAGGGTGTTCCTTGGACAGAAGAATGCCGGATTGACGAAGAATAGTAAAACGTGCACTATTTTAATTAAGAGAGCAAATAAAAATCCTTGCGATTGAAAGCCATCACCAAATAAACGAACAAGGATTGATTGTTTGAGTGGAATGTTTTCGAAACAGCCTTAGTTCTTAAAGAACTCGTCAAGTTTTATTTGCTGTTAAATAAAATTCTCAAAATGAAATCTAAAGAGGCGTAGCCGGATCAGTATTGAAAAATAGCATTTTGATGCTATAGCTATGCTAGCTCATGATCCTAGACCTAGAAGTGAGAATATTACTCAGTTTTGTAGTGATTATACGTTTTAAAAAAAATTATTCCTTTGAATTTCGAACTTAAATCGTTAACAAAATTCAAATAAAATAACGAAATCTTATATTTCTAGCGTTGCTCCATTCATATTGCCCAAAGCACGAAGTAGCTTATTGTTTTGCGAGAACACGCGGCTTTGGGCTTTCCGCGTAACGTATAGATAACTTTCGAGCTTCAACGAGCTTTTGATTTCATTACAGGGAAACGATGGATGTAAGGCACATAATCTTGGCTGTGTCATAACGGACAGTCGCATGGTGAAAGCCGCTTCTTTGATATATCCTCGGCACTAAAGGTGGACTTGGATCATCACAAATATTCAACTGAAAGCTCCCCTGCGAAGTCGAAATGCCTTCGAGTGATTCCCGATCGTGAAATACGACGTAGTAAAAATCCCTGAATCGCCAGTCGTTGTCGTAAATAATACGTCGCATTTGACGTCCTAAGCAAATAAAGGTAGCCACCTTCGTGAAAAATGAGAAACTGAGAGCCTGTAATGCCGGAGGGAAGGTGTAATGAATGGTGCAACCAATTCGAACTTCGAAGAAAAAGTCGGGACGTCTACTTCAGGGCAAGGTTTGGGATTCTGGAGATGTTACGCCTCATTCGCTCCTCGCTGTCATGATGCAAAGAATGTTTAGATAGAAAATCGATCGATTTTGTTTTTCTTTCTGTCTTGGTGATTTAACTTTCTGCATTTCTTTCTTTCTTCGTCTTAACGTTTCGGACACATTTTATGGGGAGACGTGCTCTATCGAAATCCTTTCTAACTACCATTAGGAGGCCGAGTTAAAGGGATTTGTTTAATGTTCAGTGCAGGGTTTGAAGAGAGATTTTTCAAGAGAACAATTTGGACTGTCAGGAATTCATAGCTTTAAGAAGTTATATTAGTTTAGTAGTGCATTATATATCCGTGGCGTATAATTCTTTTGAACGTCATTAGAAACGTCGTTCGATTTCCTTACGTAACATCGTATAGTGTATTGTATTGTGCATTTATTTTCTAGATGTGTTTGGATTTGTAGCTATTGCATAAAGCGTTGTACTAGTATAAAGGTGGCAGTCAATCATTTGATCAGCAGCGATTAGCTCAACAGCATTAGTTGTCCCCTGTATTTTTCGATTTGATTTAGCAATTTTATAATCTTCCTAAATTTACTTCACAGACACTCACCGTTAACAGTTTTCCTGTAAATATCGCTCACCAGTGACCTTGACGATCACCTTACGTAATTTTATTTTAATACTTTATCCAGCCGGTATAGTTTAATACAGTTCATTTCTAGTTAATTTTTCATGAACATTTACAGTATGATTTTTATTAGTAAGGCCGCATGCTTCTAAAGTCATATTTTACATATCTTGAACAAAAAAGAATTCCGAGACACAGAATATTGTGTACAAAAATGTTCTTTTGGGAAAGAATATTGTAATTTTAGAACAGACGTTACAGTATTTATTCAAATAGACGTTATAGTATCCCCGCCTCTTATTTATGAAATTTAAGGCACTGTGGGTACGAGGTTTTGTACAGCTGGATGCCTGCGCATGCAGGAATAAGAGGTAATGAGCTAGTAGCAAAGTTGACTATCGATTTGTACATTCGAGCTTCCCCTCTTGACGATATCAGCAGAGTTATCAAAGATAAAATTTTAGATAAATGGCAGAAACACTCGGATGGTCAAGTAGATGATAAGCTAAGAAGTGTGAAAACTAGAACTGAATACCGAGATGCTACTAGGAACCGAAAGGAGGAAGTTCTATTTACTCGACTTCGAATTAGTCGCTAGCGAATTACCCACGACTATTTACCAAAAGCAGAGTGTGAACCGATTTGTTCCCACTGTAATGCTATTATCTCAGTTT